ATAAGGAAAAATACTTGGAAGTTCAGTTATCTCTCAATAAACGGGGAAAAATACTTGGAAGTTCAGTTATCTCTCAATAGATGGAGAGTGTACTGAACTATTATTAAGAACCTTTACTTAAAACACAATAGAAATAAGTTATATCACTACCTTATATTTGCACAACAAACACGTCTTTATGCTCGTCCAATAACTATCAATTTAAATCCCTCTGTGTTCATTCCAGAATGAAAGATGCATAATTTATGTTTATTTCATATTTTTTATGGTGGTTGCGAGATCGTTCAAATTTTTCGGACCCAAACAGAAATTGATCACTGAAGACAATATATAAAATATAAAGTTTTCTCTCAGGAAACGTTTGGTAACTATTTGAACATTATAAACATTTCGCATACGAAAGTTCAAAATTTTCTGATGCACAAAATTATTTTTTATCTTGCCTATCTGTCAGGCAAAGTAATTTTCATCTTAACATTGTGAAAAAATTGCCCGCCCAATTTCTATATAAGAGCAATGTTATTATCTTTTCTCCATTACTCGCGTTTTTGTGAAAGAATAACAAAAAGGAAAACCCCTACTCAGGAGAATTACTTCTATATTTCATAATAGTTTCACTTACCGTCGCTAGATGGCAGTACATAATGTATTTTTTATGTTAACTACGACAGTTTGGGACTTTTCACTTCACAATAATGATATCTGAGAAACTAATTTCGCTAAAAATAAGTAAATAAATAAAGAGTTAACTAAATTAATATTTAATGTATCAAGCACCAAAAGAATTTTTGCAAGTGAATGATCTGTATGCATATTATTGATGTCTCAGTTTAAGAACACCATTTTTTAAATCATCAAATCAATACATTATATAGTGGTCTTCTTTCTTTCAAATCTCCAGTGGGGCCGAGCCTGGAGCTGTATGTGTATGCGTGGTATCATATTTCATGGCCTGGGATCCATATGATGTCCTCCCCATTAATCCTCTGACCCCGGCATGGGGTTATGATTGTATCACATACAGTAACCCGGGGTGAAGTTGGAAAGCGTGGGTTCTGGAAGTCTCCCCAAACGTTGGTCCAGTGCTCCGGGGTACTTGTACCGTCCTGGAGGGACCATTCCAGCTTCGCTGGCCTCCAAATTAATCCAAAAATAGATTATGTTTACTTTCAGCTGTGGTATCTATGTTAGGAAAATTAAGAAAAAAATACTTGGAAGTTTAGGAAAATTAAGAAAAAAATACTTGGAAGTTCAGTTATGTCTCAATAGATGGAGAAAAAATACTTGGAAGTTCAGTTATCTCTCAATAGATGGAGAAAAATACTTGGATATTCAGTTATCTCTCAATAAACGGAGAAAAAATACTTGGAAGTTCAGTTATCTCTCAATAGATGGAGAAAAAATTAAGAAACAAAATACATGGAAACTCAGTTATCTCTCAATAGATGGAGAAAAAAATTAAGAAAAAATACTTGGAAGTTCAGTTATCTCTCAATTATCTAGAGTCTATCACTGCTAAGTTTTGGACGGCTAACGCAGATAGGCATCGAGTAGCTTTGCGCAAAATTCAATAAATAACCAAGTTTTTAAAATATTTTTTATGATCCCTCAAATGTTGATTGCTATTTTAAAATGTTATGGTAAGTACTGATATGCTAGGACAATTTCCACTCCTCTCCAGGGGGAGGGGAGCTTTTATGGGGGCTACCGTACAGTGATATGGATTTAGAGGAAACGTAATATAGCAGATACGTTTCTTCAATCCAAACTAAGTTTTTAAACCGCTAGGGAGAATGTACTTTGGCGCACCAAAGTCAAATTTTGGGGTGCACGGCTCACCCCAGCATTCCCTAGCGTCGGCTCTGTTTAGATACAGAATATTCAGGAAAGTTATTATATATTCAGTTTTTACGCAGAACTACACAAGGAAAGGTACCTAGTGAACAAATTTCACTGTCAACTCATGGGCTAATATAACCTGAAAACACAACTACGGCCCCAAAGTGCGGTATACTATTTATTGTATTTGTTTAACTGATTGTCAGAAATGCAAAGTATGCCACACACACACAGAGAAAAAGTAGTTGAAATACAGTGAACAGTGACAATATCATTTTTTGTATCACACACGACTAGTATAACAGATAAACCCAATAATGCTTGTTTTGTTTGTTTGTTTTGATCGATAGGTGGTGTTACAACGTCACGTGCATTATTCGTTGCTATCGGTCGAGGAGCGGAAAAGCAAGAGTAAGTATTTACCTTTTTTGTCATTGATTCTTACTAATGGAATATTATTTTACACAAGTGAACATTCATGTTAATAATGTCCAAGTCGTCCTCCATTACTTAACATGTTTTTTCATGTTACTTCCACGGTGCTGCGAGTAATAAATTATTCAAGCTTCGAATGAACCGTGGCAACGCTTGTCTCTAGCAGATGGTGGCGCCATCTGTCATGAACGTATCTTTCGTAGTAATAAAATATTTTTTCTTCTCTGTATGTCTATTTACATATATCTACAAAATATAGCAAGAAGAGGTAAAATTTAAAAATTTCCAAGCCTTGCGTGTTCAATATAAGTTCCGAATTATATCACAAATGTTTACTAGTTGTTCTTGAATTTTTAACTGTACTCGCAAGAGTGAAAGTGAAAATAATCGTTATGTTTTTGTACTATTTTAAGTTGTTTTTTTATATAAAAATGGACGTAAGAACCAATTGAAATTCAGTCGCATCGAGGTTTGAGTAACGGCGGTGTAATTAGAAACTAAATTTAGGAATGTTATAATTATGTAACAGTTTACTGCGCGCTGTCATTCTTCAGGTGCTCTGTACGAATGCGTTGTTCTTTAAATATCTGAAATACTACGTAAATAAAATAATATTGACCGGACTTAAAGTGAAATTGCACAATAATTCGATTGAATGTCCCTTAGTTACTTCATTGTCATGTTCAAAGCGTAATAAATATTAAACATCTGATTTATTTAAAGTACATTAAATTAGGCGTGCTGTGACAACCTCAGTTTTCTACTCAATCAAAGGCTTAATTATGAGGTTTCAAACATTTTAGTGCACGCAGCTAGAAATAATACTGAACAAACTCACGTGAAATGAAAACAGAAATAAAACTGAACAAACTCAGGTAAATTGAAAACAAACAATACTGAACAAACTCACGTGAAATGAAAACAGAAATAAAACTGAACAAACTCAGGTAAGTTGAAAACAAATAACGTAAAAAACTTGTTATTTTTTAAATTTGCACAAACATTGAAAGCTGGTGATTTGGTTACTACTCCAGGATAAATTATATAAAAATAACACACTGACGAAAATAAAGATAAAACCAATAATTACAAGTCGTTGTTTCTAGTGCACTGGAAGGCCCCAGCTAAACGTGTTACGAAAGAAATGTTATTCTATTATGCAGTTGCTTGTTTTCACGTTTTATGAATCTTAAGATAAATCGAATACTATATCACTTTTTGATTCGAATTTTGGAATTTCAAGTCTAACTGACTTTCAGCTCTTAACTTTGTTGATCCTGCGGAGGATTCATGGTTCGAGGCTTGTTGCTTTTAAATCGCACTCCGCACTTTAAGGATATGAGTCCGTGATAAAAGTGGTGGAGCAATCTAACAATAGTAGCTAAATAATTGGCGATGGACGCTATTGACCAGTTGCCTGCCCTTTAGTTTATCAGCGTACAATTTGGAACTACTCTCTTTGTGCAAGTTTCTGAAACAAACTTAACTTTGTCTAGAGTTTAGTAACATTTTAAAATCAGCGATAAAGTTTTACACATTTGTTCAGGGATTAATTGATGAAAGATACAGAAATGATAAAAATAGGAAAGCCAAACGAGGTGGTGGAGAGACTGGGGAAATATCTTCGGAGCTCTCTGTGTCAAAAGGGGCCCTGGAGAAGGAAAAAAAACGATTTATAAAGAAGGGACCGACATATCAATCCTTTTCCGGATATATATATATACTGCCCGTTATAAGTTAAAGGATAATGATAGGAACTGGCAATATAGAGCTTTCTTTTGTTTGTTTTTGGTCTCATAATACACATACCAGTTTTGGTTTTTATATTAACTGTCATCATCATTACCCAGTGCTGATTTTACTGCCTGTAGACTTCTAATGTAACTTATAGTATTAGTACTATTTACTTATATATATATGTGTGTATAGAATGTAGAAATGTCGCCTGTGTATCCACGTTTTGTGCCTACACTTTTTTTTTAACCTACTACATCCAAACTTGACATACGCGGGGAGTGAAACAGGGGGACAGCGTTCTAATTCAACTTCTCTTTGTTATCCCCGTGCTACTCTACTGATACATACCAAGCTTCGAAGACAAGCCAGGAAGTGACATAAAGTGTTCGGTTGTGACCCCACTATGTCACCGCCCTGGGAGGGTACTGTCTATCTGTGCGTCTATCTTTCACACTTAACAGTTTTTCACGTAGTTCAGCCAAATTCGACATGTACTCTTATGAGTTTTCGGTGAATGAGACGGGAGGAGTCGGATTAAAAAAGAAAAAAAAACCGTGACAGGTATTTATTTGTTAAAGAAAAGAAACTTTCCTAAACTGGGGTGTTCAGGAATATTGATACCCCCCCCCCCTCACTTCGCCCTGTTCGCGATAAATTGTTTGCTAAGTTCATGGATTTGATAAATTTTGAAAGATTGGTTATAAGTTTCACTATGGCGGATACCAGATCTAGTCCTCTATGCCTTTTACGTAAATTGAACGAGAATGTCAGCTAGTACATTGATAAACTTTTTGTACTGTTAATGAAAATACATGTTTTTATAAAGAATATGGATAACTTTAAGTCGAAACCTTAGTGTGTGTTCAAGAACAATGTTTAAGCTTTACAATTTATCTTTAATGCGCTGCGTTATCGTTACAAACTAGTTTATATAAAGCCACATTCTCTTGTCTCTATTGGGATTTGGGTCTTTCCTCCCTCTTGTGCTTGGTGGGTGATTACAGGATTAGTTTCGCTAGATTACCCGTGCACTTACTCTGACACCTTTGAAGGCCATGTCCGTGTAGGTAATAATAATAATTATTATTTCTCGTTATTGGTCAGTGCGAAAGTTCTACACAGTGTGAACAGTTAATTGGGGAAAGGTGATTAAAAGATACCTTAAAACTTGGATTGTTTGTTTTTGAATTTCGTGCAAAGCTACACGAGGGCTATCTGCGCTAGCCGTCCCTAATTTAGCAGTGTAAGACTAGAGGGAAGGCAGCTAGCCAACCATCACCACCCACCGCCAACTCTTTTACCAACGAATAGTGAGATTGACTGTCACATTATAACGCCCCTACGGCTGAAAGGGAGAATATGTTTAGTGGGGGCGGGGATTCGAACCCGCGACCCTCTTATTGCGAGTCGAGCTCCCTAACCATTTTTAGATCGTAAAATATTTCTGTGCAACTGCATGCTGGTTTTTGAGTGACGAACGGAGAGCTCGGAAAATTTCATCATTTTTGCCATTAGACAATTCACACTGACGATTTTAAAATGTAGTCGATCTGTTAAACGGATGAAAATTTATGCTGGTTAAAACAAAAACTCACAGTTAATGGTACGAAAATTGCTGTCACGGTTACATGGTTACCATGTTTTTTTTATTTTAGTTAAAATTTTGGGTAATTTGTTTCCTTATAAAGTTTAATTTGTGATGCAAGCTGGTTGAAATCTCGGTATTCATAATATGCATCTTGTTCGTTATAGAATGACGTTTAAGATAAACCGAACGTGGGATGATCACCTTGTAGACCATGCTCCAGTATCCATTGACCTAAGTCGGGATAGCACCAAGGGCTTGGTGATCATGAAAGTCAATGCTCCGTTTTTTAATGATCCTACTTCTCCGGAAGGCCCTCCTGGTGAGCCTTTCTTCAAACTGTGGGATTATGAAGGTAAGAACTGATATAGGCAGAAAACTTAGAAGTTCGTTTTAAAATTTATCTTTCCCTATAGTCCCAATCACAGTCCTGTCACGTTACATCACGCTGCCCAATTTTTTTGATTTGATGTTTTTTAATTCGGTTAAGAAACTTTCTCTAATTACGTGTATTTTACATGAATTAAAATCTCGATATTCACGTGGATGTAAGACCTGAGGAAGAAGCCAGCAGCTAACTTTTTTCTGGTGGGTTAATAATAATCATCATAGAAATAGTAATAAGTGGGATGCATTTTACTTTTCATATTATTAAATTTCAGCCGTTATTTTGTTTAATTTTTTGTTTTCCAATACGAAAAATATTTTGAACATATTTAATCAAATGTTTACACATGGATTTGAGGTTATTAAAGTAATGTGTAGGTGGTTCGACGCTACTGGCAGTGAGGAAGGAACCCGTCATTCATATCGGAGTGTATCGAAACAGTGATCGCCATTAATAAATTATTCTAGAACTGTGTAAGTGTTACAGACATTAGCAAGAGCATATAAGACAAGCTTTTCGCAACTTACCCCAGTACAAAATATAAAAGTGATTGAGCTCGAAATCAAGCGTCACCTTTGTAGGCCTTGATCTCACAATTAAGCGTTAAGAGAAATAGCTTACGTAACAGTAAAGAGCATATTAACTTTTTTTTTCAATGAATAAACTTACAGTAGTATAATTGTATGAGACAAACCAATGAAAGTCATATTTCACTATTATGTAGTTGTGGAGGCATTCTTCCTAGCAAAGGATGACAAATACTTGGAAGTTGAACTCTCTCCGTAAGTAAAACTTTATCATTTAATATAAAACATGAAAGATAAAAGAAAACAACAACATTGTTTGTATACATGTACTCAATGGCTTATTACGAAAGATGCCCCCCCCTCTCAATTGTTGGGGCATACTTATGCCACTACGTGTACTGTAACAAGTAGAAATGTTACCCTTCCAACACCTATCTTGATTATGTGTTGAAATAGGTACATTTTCTGATTACCAAGAGCAATTTCTAAAATTCATGTTTTAATACTAACATCATTAACTATTGTGTTTGGATGGATGAATATTTTTTGTGTTTATTGGTTATTTTAAATTAGGCTTAGCTTTTCAGCAGTTGATGTGCTAAGGTTGAACATTTAATAAATAATTTTGTAGACTGGGACATGTATCTGTCAAATTCAATAGCAATGTTCGATTCCATTTCATAATTTAAAATTCTATTAACTTTAACAAAACCACTGTATCACATTTTTTTTTAGTCATGGACAGCATCTGTTACTTTTGTTAAATGGAAGAAGAAATGCCATCAAGGTAAACCCTTAAAGTCTATAAATATTAATGGAATTTCTAAAAATTAAAATGTGATTTCTTCGTGAATAATTTTACAAATTTAATATTGTGTGACAAGTACAAGATAGGATGTTGAGTTCTTCATATATTTTATCTTGTTTTATGGGTTCTTGTATAATGTTTAAATTGAAAGTTGGAAACCTAATTGCTGGAAACCAGTATTTCTGATAAAATTTATTGAAATTTTGAGTTAATTTTTATTTTAAAAATTTATCATTTGTATATCTTTTTCTATCCAAATACTTATAAAAACCAGTCTATAACTAGATTCCAAAACAAAATATGTTGTGCACATTCATGTACATCATCTATATTGAAAGGAACATAATTTCATGTCTATAAAATCACCAGACCAGTTTGCTAGACATTTATGAGCAAATATTTGGAATACAAATACTATGCTTGTTCTAAAAAAAATTTCTACTCTTTCCAATTTACAGGATCTTCATTAATTTCAAAAGTTGTTTTATAAAGTAGTTGTACCCAGTTTTTTTCCAGGTCAGAGATTTAGTTTCCAGACATATAATCTGTGACAAACTGTTTTGCTACAAATCACACAATTATAATGTACTACAAGCCAGGTTAAAACATGATAGGCTGTAATTAAATAAAAAAACTCCAGTAATTACATTTGGAACCACAGTTCACTTTGAAAAGAAAGCTATGTGAATGAAAGGTCTTCTACAGCTGTGGACAAACTGTTTAACACAGTTGATGAAACTCTCAAAGTATTCTATTTCATAAAATTCTCTGTCGTGCATTTTATTTAATGCATTTTGTGACACTAATGCAAGTTGGATGTAAATAATTTTTCATGTAGCTATTCATTTTCGTATGGTTGCAGAGTGTTATAATTCATTGTGGAAGTTTCTAAAACAAAAAATACATAATTAATAATTCTGAGAGATGCTGCTAGGTTTAGCAGGCTAATTTAGAGTTTCTCTAAAAAAACTCAAGCATCATTTACTTCTAGTTAATATGCTTTATACCACTGCTGATGATAAAACTAATTTATTAGTCCATTAAAAGTGTCAGGCTAACAAGTTTTTATCATTTACCTAATACTTTATGTCCAAAGTTTGAAGAATTCTAGTGATATCTAACTACAAATTTATCATTGATACTTTACTCTTCTGAAAGCATTCTCTGCCGTTGAACTACACTACAACCATTAGTTTTGACCAATGGACAGGCATAGCTGAAATACCTGTGGATTATTTCCCACCTAATGTTGACCGGTTTAATGCCTATGCCATTCATGGATCCGGAAAGGACAGAATGTATGAATCTCTCTATCCAGTTCCCTCGGGATCACACACTTCTGCAGATTTGTAAGGATTTTACTATATTTTAAGATTAATATAATAATAACTATGTATAAGTTGGCTAGATATACATATTTTAATCATATAAATGAGCAAAATGTCTCTTACAGTAAAACCATAAAACAATTGAAATAAGGGAATGTTTATCTCTGAAGAAACAACAAAAAAACTGAATTTAATGACCTTTTTTTACAATGTTGTTTATTTGAAGACTAAATATATATCATCAGACATCAGGGAAATACGATGTTGGTATATGAAATCCAAAACCTATTTTAAAAAAATAGAAGATAAAACTTAAGAGAATCTTAATATTTTTAGGTAGAGGTGTCTAAATTTTATTGTTTATCTCCTGGTTGTTTCAGTGACATATCAGATTTTAAGGACAGTTATGCTTTGGAATGTAAATCTACTTATAATTATTTAATACAATATGTTAATGCTGGTTTTGTACAACATATATGAGCAATTGTTATTCATAGAAACAAATACAATGATCTTGAATTTAAAAACATTATTAATAATTACCTATTAGAACTTTTAAAAAACTTAGTCATAATTGTTTTTTTATTTCAGTCATCGGTTGGAATACTTTAGGCCTATTCCTTTTACTCAGCTTATTCCAAACAATGCAGGAAGTCCCCTTTCGGAGGTTTGGAGAAAAGCTCTTGGACAGTAACGTGGAGAAACAGCTTATCAAATATCACTTTTCAGTACTTCTTTTCTGTTGTTGTGAAGATAATACCTACATACTTTTTGATCTATTACAGTAAGGACCTTAAAATGTGACACAGGTAAGCACAAGAAACAACTTCTAGTCCATGACTGCGTGATAAAACTCGATGAAGTACAATCATGTTCATGAGTAATAAATTCTAATCTATATGTGAATTTCAAATCTAAATTCAAAGCCAATATTGATGTAAGTATTGTTTGATATTAATAACTTGCAGTTGGTAAAAAAAAAAATTTTTTTTTCATACATTACTAATATAATATTCACTAGAGATAAAACCATACATGTCTGCTCATATTAATATTTTGTTCCATAAAGTTAAAATTCCTTTCTAAGTAATTCAAAAATATTCTATTAACATGGCTATTGAAGAGTGAAAGAAAGAACATTACAACATTGTAAATAAAACTATTACAAACTACCTGCATTTCTTACCATAGCACACTATCTTGATAACTTAGTTTGGAAAGCCAGAGTTCTATAAAGTTACATAATAATGACTTCAATCTTAAAAAAATAACATTCAGTTTTGTTTAGGGATAAAACAAGTAATATGTTTTTAAGAACTTAGTTTTTAGAAACTCTACATTTATCTGGATTTACTTAGCATCATCAGGTGGATACACTTGACTTGACAATGCTCAGTAAACCTAGCGAAACATAGTGCTAGTCCTTTGTGTTTTAAATGTTCATGTCACACACAACAAAAAGAATTAATATTCAAGCAAGCTGTTAGAGTATTAATTTATTTGCCAAACTTATTCTTAACTACGAAGAAGACAATTTGAAAGATTTGACTTTTGTAGATGCATCAAAATTGGATAATTTCGTGGCCTGAGATCTTCATCTTTACCTCTTCTCAAGTTGTTTGAACTTTGCTTCTGGAAAAACAAAATAAGAAATATGCAAATCCCAATAACAAAACGATAAGTTGATTCATAAATATACTCAATTCAACAGAAACACCATGCCTGAAAATGTTTTTAGTAAGAGCATTAGTATATAAATAATATAATTTTAGAAATAATACTTGCACACAAACAAGCACTTATCCTAATAACGTTATAGATAGTAGAAATGTATACAAGTGTTGTGACATATTAATATACAGTACAATTTGTTTGATTTAAAACAGAATAATACTAATGCCATATAAAGCATTAAAGGAAAAACTTGTAACATGAAAATTGAAGTTTTGTTCACAGATAAAACAAGTAATATATTCCTAAAAACTTAAATAAAAAAAAATACTGTTTCGTTAGGTTTACCTAGCATCATCAGGTGGATACAGGTGAGTTAAAACGTAAGGAAACCAGTACCATAACTATCTAAACACCATTGTTATTGGTTTGGATATTTGTACAAAGTTACATGAGAACTATTTCTGTTAACTATCCTTAATTTTGAAATGAGAGACTAGAGATGAGATAGGCAAGAGCACCAACTCTTGGCTACTCTTCTGATTGAATAGCGGGATTTGACTATCACTCTTATTATGCACCCATGGCCCCAAAGTGCAGAGCACAATTTAGCAGCAATGGGACACAAACCATGAACCATCTGAGTCACAGTCTTACATGCTAATCACTACTAGGTTACATCTGGCCTAAACACTAGTGTTTTACATGTCGCATCATTCAAAGCTAGTTATGTACAGATAAACCGCAGTAAAACTTACCAATGCTCAACATGTCCACAATTTAAGAATTTTGATGAGATGTTTATTTTTCATATCTTTCATTACAAAAGAATGACTGGAGAAATTCAATTCGCTACTCAATTGTTATTTTTTTTATTAAATTTTAAACTAAAACACAAACCACATAAACATGTACATTAGAATCTGAAATTGAATAGTGATTTTGGTTAATATAAATGATGAAAACACTACCAAGATTGGCTAATCATTATCAAATGAAGTTATTCAGGCATTACAAGTCCTAGCTAATGTAGATAAGGAAACCGGTTATGATATACAGTACTAACATCATCATTTACAAACAAATATTCTACAGTAAAGTATAAGTAAATTACTACAATGGAGGAATCTTGAATAATAAAGATTTATAAAAGCATCTTATTAAAAAACAAAACACTTATTACAAAGCTCGATGTCCTACTAGGTATTAATTAATCAACCTCTCAGTTCTCTATTCAAACAGTAAATACTTCAGAAACAATCTATATAAATCAAACAGTGTGAATACAATAAAAAAAACTAATGATTAAATTTCATCGTTTGTTTTTAGATACACGTACATAGCTATTCAAGAACCATCTATGCTAGATGTCACTAACTTTGTACTGATAGATTAGAGGGAAGGCAGAAAGTCAACAGCAACCATTGCCAACTGTTGGGCTACTCCTGTTTGACTGAATAGAGGAAATTAAACACCATCCTTATAAGGGATCCCCAAAGAGCAGAGGATGTTGTTTTTAATAACGAGATGTAGAGGATGAATCCACAGGTCCATAAGTCCAGCTTCATAACCAATATGTCATGCTTAGCCCATTAAATTTCGTATAGCTAATAATTATGAAGTTAGGTTTCTCAATATACCCATAAAATATTACATGTTAGATTTCTCATGAACAAAAATATTTAAATAAAATATGTAATAGTAACTTACCAAGTCTTTTTGAATATGCATCAAGTTTGTAAGCAGCCTGCTCTAGTTTAAACACACTTTCTTCTACTTCATCAATCTGTTCTAAGTATGGTTTCAGGTTTCTGTCTACATCAAATCATTAAAGAAGAATTGGAAACTTACTAGTTACAAACACTGATTTATTTTGAATGGCTTCCCTATAAATATAATGACAAGGAGGGTAAGTCAATATTTTCCATCAATTTAAACGTTTTTACTGATAGATGTGTTACTTAACTCCTTTTGTGACCAGAATGTTTACATTTACCGAAAATGTATTTCCAATAATACTTACCTCCTCGCTTCCTTGCCCGTCCAAGCAATGGTATGAATTTTACCTCGCTTGCCCCAGTCTTTATACCCCACTATATTGCCCCTAGTCATTTTAATCTTGTGAATTTCTCCACCTACGTCAATCCATTTCTAAACTCCCCGTTATTCTTTCATATTCAATTTTTCAAGACTGGCAAGATTATCAGATGCGAACACCAGCTACCATGGGGAGGAAGGGTGGGATAGTGTGACAGGAGGTAAGTATTATTAGAAATACATTTTAATTATAGGAAATTTAAACTTCCGAAAAACACCTCTTCTCACACTTTAGCTAGAATCCCACATTGGCCAGGTGGCAGGGTAGGTGAGGGCAAGATCCACACAGAAAGCATCTGCACAGAAAAACAGGCGTGCAAAATTGAGATATAATAAAACACACTAGTGGGGGTCCTCACTACTTCTGGAATAGGTATGCTCTTCGTCCAGATAAAGTGAAATCTATACGTGGGCAGTAAAGGCCAACCGGCTACAGAATCAACATTATTCATTATCATGAGATTCGTCCAGGCTTCAACCACACAAACGAGATTCTAGGTATCGTCATTGGAATTATAGGGCTGTGGACTCAAAGCTAGATCCAAAGTGTAGTGACTTGGGAATGGGGACCACAATATGATATGAAGGGAACGCGACTTAAAAATTACAGGATGTTGCATGTCGAGCCACCAGAATTACGAAGAGAAGGCAAGCAACACCTAAATAGATAAACCCTCACTCCAAAATGCAACTAACTGAACTCGGAATTACAGACCCAGGCACCCAACTTGAAAGTTACAGAATGTTGCATGTGAGCCACCAAAATTACAAAGGGAAGGCAAACAACATCCAACAAGACAAGTCTTTTCCCCAACCTGAAGATATTCAGAACAAACAGAATTTGGAATTACGGAACCAATTCACGCCTCACTCAACCTGAAGAAACAGAGATCATCTGGCCTGGGATTACGAACCAAAATCCTAACTCCACAACTTGGGAGGCAAGGTAACACTTCCTGAACCCAAAATACAAGGAGGATGTTGAACAAACGAAGTTCAACCAGTGGCTCGTGGACATGATACTTTGCATACAGAATTACAAGAAGTCAAGGGCCCTCTTCCTTGATCGTAGAAAGTAAGATAATGACCAAAAAAAGAGCCACGCTCACACAACCAGATAGCGAAGTGTAAACTGGACCGACTCCCTATCTGACATCTGAGAGAACCATCTTCTTCTTGAGTTGAATAAAGAGTACAAACATCACTTAGGAGGAATATATTTCTATCCACCACTCTATTGATAAGAAAGTGAGTGTGGTAAGGACTTCCTTGATCCTTTACAAGAAGGGGAGGGGTAAATTCACATTACACCCATGTCTGAGAGAGCACTGATGAAAAGTAAACCATTTCCTCTGATAAACTTCCAAAGAAGAATGTCAAATGGAATGTGTTAATAAGTATGCCATTTGAGATGTCAATCCCTAATATCATGCAATGGACTGCATAAAAGCAAAGCATGAAGTTGAATAACACTGACTGCTGGATGACGAAGAATCCAACTGAGACTGACGTAAGAGAGATGACCAGGAAGGATAGGGAAACAATCGACACTCCTGAAATTACTGGAGGAGTTGAAACCAGGACTGACCCAGTGGATAAAATGCCACCAGAAAAATTCAACAGGACACAAAGCAAATTAGTGCCAGAACCGTGGAGAGCACATGAATCAAAGTGAATGCATAAAGATGAAGATCTATCCAATTCTGGCTGAGAGCTTCTACTTCCAAAGCCAGAGGGTGAGGTACTAGAGAACAGAAAGACAGGAGCTGAGCATTCCAATGTGTGACGAAAGCCTCGATCTGTGGTGTCTCAAGACAAGAGCCGATCTAACGAAAAATTTGAGGAAGAAGTATCCATTCTGTAGGAAAAGCTCTGTTGGGACAAGATAATTGGTCAGCCACTGGATTCATTACCCCTGGAACATGACAAGCAAGGAGAACAATCTGGTGTTTCTGTGCCTAAAGGAGAAGATCCATTGTTTGAAAACAAAGAGATCTGGAGTGAGTGACCCCTTACTTTGAAAATGGGTGAGACTATTGTGGAATTGTCCAAATAAAGCATTACCATCTTCCCTTGTAACAATACGAGCACCCCAAACCCTGAAGAGAAGCATCAGTGAACAGATGTATCTCTGGCCGTGGAGGTGGTAGAGGGACACTGACAGTTGGGTTGTCTCTGTTCAACCATCAGCTGAGATCCAGCACACTGGAATCCAACAGTTTCATTGGACAATCCAGCACATCTGTGCAATTGTTCTATTGGTCACATTAAAGAGCCATAACGTGGTTCCGATCTAAAGGAAGGAATGATTCCAAGGATGCCCACATCCCCAAAAGAGATAGAACTGTGTGTACTAGCAGAGAATGAGACAACTTTATTTGAAGAACCACCTGTTTCAGCCTGAAGGAGGAGAAGGTTTACCCTGGTTGAGATTGAAAATGAAAAACAGCTCTCGCAGCTTCTGATACCAAGGGGCAAGAAGAAGCCAAGTAATCCATGTAACGGTGAGTGTGAATGCTGAGGGAGTGAAGATGATGCAAAAAAAAGCTCTGACTATCTGGCAAAAAACGTATAGAGCAGATGTGATGCCAAATGGTAGAGCAAGAAACTGAAAAACCTGGTTGTCATGCAGGAAATGGAAATAATGCCATTTAAGACTCGGAGACTGGGATATGAAGTTAGGTATCTGCAACATCGAATTTTCTCCCCCATAGTCTGGAAGAAAAAGCCACTGAAGAAAAAGAAACAACACTATTGTAAACCGAGGAGGCTGGAAGAAGTGATTGAGACTAGAAAGGCTGATGACTGGTTGCCAATCTCCTGTCTTTTTCGATACTACAAACAGCTGAGAATAAAACCCTCAAGAGAGGAGGTGATGAGTGCTATGGCCTCTTTGTGCAGAAGATCCTGGATGGCTTGTGCTTGACAGTTGGATGTAAGAGAGTTTTTGGGGAGTGGAAAGCCAACCAGTATGAGAAACAGAGGAGGAGGAGACATGGACTGAATGCCCAAACCCCTCCTGAAAAGTTGAATGACCCATTGATCTGTGGGGAAACTAGTTTCTCCCAATAAAGAAGGCAAAGATACATAAGCTACAGGATAAATATCAAAACATTACAAACACGGCATACTAGTTGTAAAAAAGGGTTCAAGAGGCAGGATGTCTGCCATAAGTTCATGAGTAGCTGTCTGAGCAAAGGAAGGTACTGGAAAAATAGAGTTTAAATTCTCACTAGCCCACTCTTGATCTCCCATAAACTCAGACTCAGAGCCAACAGGAGAAAAAACATCAGGCTGCATGTAAGACTTTACCCCTCTGCATATAAAAAACTGTATGTCTTCCACAGAAGTCTCCACCCACCTCCCGGTGCCTGGGTAACGTTAAAATTGTGAGGTAGTAGAGGAAGGGCATCAGGCAACTCTGTCTGAGATGTGAATGTGAGTATCAATATTCAAAAACACGACTCTATAAATTGTTTTTGTTTTCTCATAAAATCAAGAAAATAAAATCAAGCCTCATAAAAAAACATATTTCAAATAACTGAAAAGGAAACATTGCAAATGTAGTTATAGCACTGAAATGAAACCCACAGTAAACACGAAAGACCGTCTTCATAATTTTTGACATCGAGAAAAAGTGAATAAGAAAGAATAACAGGGAGCTTATAAATGGATCGGGTATAGAGGGTGCATTGATGTAGGTGAAGAGAGTCACAAGATTAAAAATCACTAGGGATGGTACAGTGGAGTATAAAGACCGGAGCAAGAGAAGTAAAATTCATACCATTGCTTAGATGGACAATAAAGAGAAGCTTTCATCGGGATAAAGCTAAGGAATGAGAGGAGGTGTGTTTCAGAATTTTGTATTTCCAGTAACAAGGGAAAACTATAAATCTTGACAAAAATATCAAAATTATATTTTTCATTGAATTATTTTATACTTTACTGAAGAAATAAAATACAAACCAAATATCATTGGACACAGTGTGAAAAACAAAAATCAAAGTACAACCATATAATACCTGGAATATAAATAGTGAGCATACCAAGTTCACCCCTATGGTAGGTAAGCAAGGGGCTAAAGAAACGTAGGATATTTTACTGGGTTGTATCGTCTGAACTTTACTACCTTTCTATAAGAACTGACATCACAAACTACAACATAAGATGAAAATATGTCATAAACGAACGTCTAGTACGACAGCTTCGCTTCGCAAAATAAAATTTTGTCGATGTTTCTGCATTAGAATGAATGAAATATACATGATTTTTCTTTATAACCTAAAACTTTACATCAGATTACTCTAATACAGTAAAAAAAAAAGGCAACATAAATACAGATGATTTAAACATTTTTTTTTAACTAACTATTCCAATTACCAAAAGGAAAAAAGTGGAGTTTTCAGAAACATTTCTTCTAGAAAATATATTTGGATTACTTGAAGTAGTCACTAGAATTTTAAAATTAATTCAATAACTGTTCATGTTGATATTCAATATTAAACCTACACAAAATAGATCTTTAAACTTAATGAATTAAAATTACTTTAATGAACAAATATATGATGAGATTTATAGTACAATTAAACCATTTCCTCCATACAAGTGTGATATACTAAAACAAACATGAAAATATTTCAGGGTATAACTAGGAAACAAAAACACTCACATTTCTCATTCAATTCCTTTAGTGCCTTGCTTACATTTGCAGCAATTTGTTTCATGTCTGAATACTTCGTTATAGCTTGTCTGTTCATTTCTTCCAACAACCGATAATCATCAACAGTAGCTAATATAAAAAAGGAGATTAGAAATTTCATCAAATATATATATATTGTGATTGAATTAAATTTTAAATGTTCATCTTTTTTCCACTTGTAAAGGAGCAGAATAATATTATTCTATGCAAAAACTTGGGGTTAAACAATGATGTCCAAATTAGCACTGGTCAGTTTGCATAACATTGGCTATTAAGAAGTTGGAAATATGCAACAGAAGGTTTTAGATGGTCTTATGTATACAGACAACCTTCTGTCAATCCAACACAACTATAAGCTCTCAACGAAAACTAACATAATAAATAAAGTACAGGAATTCTTATGTCAAATAAAGAAAAGCTGTTGATATGAAGCTTTAAAACAAACACACAGCAATGTAAAATTCCATTTCTGTTTCTTCTTTAACTGAAAACTATAGACACAAACTAGTGATATAATTGTTATGTAAACAAAATACTGGAGTTTTTCAGTTGTAAACAACCACACACCAGTTTATACACTTAGTGATAAAATTCTTCTGACAGCACAATGGAGATAAATTGATGAAGAGAACAATATCCAGTAAAGGGAACTCTTCAGTAACAAGAGAGAGAGAGAGAGAAAAGGATTTACACAAAAAACAGTAGCAAGAATTTTTAAACTGTAAAATTTATACTTTGATAATAACTGTTCAAATACCATGGGGAAAAAAATGACAAATGTGTCATCTAAATACCTGATTATCAATAATGCTTAAAACTCTTTATTCAAGCCTTTTTCACAGTTAAAAAAGAAATAAATAAATTAGGATCAAGTTTGAAACCCATGAACATAATCAAAAATGGTACAACTAAAAACTAAATTTAACTTTATTTGGTGACAAATTTTCCAAAAGTTTAACAAAAACAAATTTAATTAACCCATTAGTATACTTAAATTCACTAAAAGCTAACTGACTTGAAAGATGAGCCTTTTAAATTAAGTAATTGTAAATAGAATGCTAATTCTGATATTGTGAATAAAGCTTGGGAATGAAATCTACAATATCTAGCTGCATATAGACAGACTATTTCTACAAGAAAAATGGTATAATCCAACTAAAAACTTTCAGCTAAAAATCACAACACGAGTAGAGTTTCTACGTTCCTGCAACAATACTGCTATTCTCACTAATGTTGTCTTTGATATTCTAGCCACATAACAAAACTATTTATCACTGAGCAAAGGTTTCTTATCCATTACAGAGTAAGAATATCCAGTAAGTATGAGAATGTACTATCTTACTTGCGTACTGAACTAACAATGTAAACCTCAGTTAAATAATGCACTACTCCAAGTTAATGTAGTTTTAACAACTGTACTCTACTTGTACTAGCCATATCTTACTTTGATAAGGCAAGAATTAGATCACACTTTTACACAGAGAGGACAGACAGATGTAGAACTGGCTGAAATTGAAGAGTAGCAGGATAAATGTTACTAAAAATTTGCTAAAACAAATCATATAGTAGCGACAATGAAGAAAACAAGAATTGGTGCAAATGATGAAAGACTGATGAAGAAATGCAAGAAAAGAAAGGTATTAAGAATGTGAAGACCACTTGTAAGATGAAAACCGAATGGTGAAAATGCTTTGAAAAAAGAAGTCCTTCATATTTAATGGGCACCATAACATTGACACTTGAAAGCATCCAAAAAATGAGTTTTGTGTGAGCTTGTTAGAGCCCCTGTTAAATCTGTCATGACACCTATTGTTTTGGGCCCACTACTGATTGATTTATTCTTACCAAGAAATAAATAATTTTGAATTTGGATTCTGTTATTATTTGTCATGGGATTGGCCATACAACTGACAGTTGTTTGTATACACAGACAAGCTCACAGATAACTCTATGATGGCTAAGACTCTGATACTTCTAATTTTAATTGGTCTATACTAACGATGTTACATGCATAGTAATACAATATTTTCAAACTGTATTGTTGTATATAAACATCAAATATTTGTAACTGAGAAATCGGGTCAATGTTTTAAAGCTTAAATTAGAAAATTGGATATTAATTATCAGTAAGAAGAGTTTTAGAAAATTTGATTGTGACCTAAAGTGCATTTGATGAACTACTTTCTTTGTGAGACGAGGTTACATATTGATCAGGTTGTCATAGTTCAGTGGCACTCTATGAACCTGTCTCAGTTTAGCCAGCAAAACTGTATTCTATCAATACAAAATCAGAAAAATTCAGTCAATTCAAATTAACTTTTATTGACCATTTTTGTAATTATGTAAGCAATAAATCTAGATACAGCATCAGCCCACTAACAGCTCTCATGGACAGTTTGGCAACTGCTGTTTACATGCATTTTTCAAAATGAAGGAGTGATGAAGAACATGTATAGGCTGATAGGAAGCATCGTGACTAAGTGGTTTACCTATTACCCTTCAAGTACACAATACTTTGCACAAATAGTCTGGCATGTGATTATAAAATTAAAAGACAAGATAGAGAACAGAAATGTTACTTATTCAAATAGTTATGTGTGCCTAAATTATGGAAGATTCACATGTAGGTGCAAATTTTTTTTGTAGTTAAATACTATAATGGCAAGACGTTTTCTGTTCTTTTGACACAGATTCAAAATTAACTCTATTGTTTCCACAGTTACAATGAACCTTTTATTTTACTGAAACTGAAAAAAGAACAATCATTGGCTCTCATATAAAGAACAATAAACAAACTGGAAAACTGAAATGTATAATCTTCCAATAATACTACAAAAAAAAAAAACCACAGACAGGCCATAAATGAGAACAGTACAGTTGTTAGAAAACTGATGGCTGAAAAATAAATTAAGTTTAAAATAAGCATTATCGTTTCAGTTGTTGTTGTTTTTTCTAATTAGATGGGTTTGCCACAGTCAAAGTGAATGGCTGAACTGATAAAAAATTACAAACAGAGTTGCAGATGTATGTTTGGTGCTGATTTTATCTTTACACATTTCTCAGCTAAACTGATTAAAAGTATAACAATAAATACTTTCTAAATCACAAATACCTTTATCATGTTTTTACATTTCCCATATTACTTAATATTGACATTAGAGAAATTAAATATATGTAAATTCTAAAAATTAAACAACACAGGGAAGAAAAAACTTTAAATAAATCAATGTTTTTTATGCAAAATGAAGAAAAAACAATTGTTCAAATTCACACTGCATAGTAGATCTGCTTCACATATCTAAAGACAACAGACCAATGTTCTGTTGAAACATGTACTGTGTTCTCTACATAATACATAATAAAATGTTCATTATGCTTCTAAATTGTTGTTCAATTTACTATTCTATTAGAATATTGTGCTTCCATACACAAGTATGGTATTAAGCTCCTGAAAGGAATTCATGGTAATTTTTTTCACCAATCAAATATACCTACAATTCAAAATGTAGTTTACATAAATGATAATATCTGGTACACATTAACAGTAGGTAGAATTCCTAATTAGGTTTTACAGGTAATTCACTATTTCTAACTTACCAGCTAGTTCTTCCTGAAGATAGTCTGCAGTCTTTTCAAACATGGTTGTTGCCAACACGTTGATGTTAGGTTGTTCAGTTACACTCTCACCAGTTTCATTCATGATGGAGTTGAACACTTCGATTAAAAATGAACAAATACAAAAACAACATCAAGCTCATAATATACACATGTACTAGGTACATAAATACAATCTTTAACATATGTCAAGTATTATCTCAATACCTACAGTGTTTATGATATTTCACATAAACTATCTAAGATTCAGAAGGAGAATAACAATACTTTTAAACCAATTTCAACTATTTACTTATATTTTCTTATTATATTTCCTTGGATACTGAACTAAACGACAAAGTTAGGACAGCTTTAATAGAATCGTTTACACAAAATCTTTAACTACTGATGTTAAAACAATTACAGAACATATGAAATATTATTTTGCTAGAAAGTCATTCAGCCCATTAAAACTACCTGTCTATTTTCACTCAACCAAAGCAGCTGTGATAAAACACGACTAAATTTAGCTCTAAGAGGAACAAGTCAAGCCAAATTTAGCTCTTTAAAGCAATATATCATTCCTGACCAACAACAAAAGTAACTATCGGATCAACATTGATCCAGGAAAAACTGGAATGTTTCCATATATATATTGCAGATGTTAAAAAAACACAGAAGAAAAAATCTTTCACTCACAGAGGACTATTTTTCATTTAGCCTTTGAATCATACTACTAGTGAAACCATTATTTCAGACCTTGTTTTAGGTATTGAAAAAGATAAGGTAATAAATGGACGTATTAGAGCAATTTATAATTAGGGATCATAATACTGATATCTTTGATTGAAACTAGTTGAAAAGTTAAGACTGAAATATAATAAAAAAATAGATGGAATGTACAGATGGTATCAGCTTATCTGTAATAAGAGAATATTTATTCATTTATTCTACTTTCAACTGTATTTCAGTGGAAAAACAACAATTTCATCAATAAGATCTGGATATATTTTTTATAGAGAATTTAGACACAGTATTCATGATGGATAAACTGCAGCGAAATGGGCAGCAGCTACCTAGTTAAGAGCGACACTTGTAGGAAAAGTATTGGAGGACTGATCTAAAAAAGTAGCTCAGATCAAAAAGATACTGTTTTAGAAGTCTCTGTTCTTCAGGTCGACCTCATCTACTTTTCCAGATTATTCCTCCAAGACTTAGTCTACAAGTTGCCCATTTCATCTTTCTTTGTTCTTCTGGATATTCCTTTGTCAGCTTACATGTATAACTTACTATTTCGCGTGGTATGAACATAATACCTCACTCTTGTTTCTGTTATTATGATTATGAGGCTAATCCTTGCTAAGATAAATGCATACTTCTTCAGCAAAAATTGCTTCTTGTCTAAAGTTACAAAAATGTGGAATTGTCTGCCTGATGTTGTCATACGAGCTATTATCTTAAACTGTTTTAGTCTGGTATATGGATGAGAAAAACTATAGTTGTTCTGGTTCGGTATTTCTTTTGGTTGTTTTGGTGGGTGGAGAGGTGTCTCTATGGGACAGGTGGGATGTCACCATCTTTACTGTACTCCTCATTTTGCACAATTTCTACTCATATCACAGAAGACTCACTGGTCATAGAATTCACCTGCTGAATTTCACTTATTTTTAAAGTGTAGCTGCAAACACCGAGAAGACATTTAGACAAAAAACTTACACCTAATAATGTCGTTTATCAGTTTTGTTTTTTACCTGTATCACTTGCCTGACATTGATAAAATAACCATCTCTGATCTAACAATTAGATCATAAGTTTTAACCTTATATAGTGTAACCAACCCCCAGAAACTAACTGTTGCCCTATTTTACTAACTCTATTCATAAATGTATGACGCACCCTCTACCAATGTTGACAATTACATAACTAATATTACAAAAATATTACTCAAAAAAACAAAACAACCTATTTCAAAAAACACAAATAACAGAGAATGGTACACACATAGGGGGTGTATAATGCATTGAGACAACCTTGGCAGTTACTTTAGAAATAACCAGCTAAGAAAAACACCTTAGTAATGACGTTATTCAGCTCAAGAGTTTACTGTTGAATTAAGTAGCTCCCAGTGTAGCAGGAATACAGTGTCTTGTGTTATATGTGCTGTATAATCCTGGTAAATATATATATATCTGTGCTTGTTTCTTCCCTAAGTAAAAATTAATTCAAAGTGGTTAAATGTGCAGTCCAAAGTACCAATATGACCTAGCACAACCATGAAATTTTGGTTTGCTGTCTTGTAACATTTAAGCTGCATCTTCAGTATGCCATAACACTGGTTCTTGTATCCTGTGTTAAGCCGATAGTGCACTTGATAAAAAAATACCTATGTCCACCAGTAAATGGTAAGACACCACAACAGAATATTAACACCATTACCCTGAAGATGTTATAGCATGAAATATTTAAAATAAAATAAATAAAACATTACTTTGCATAAGAATATTAGTACTACAGATAAAACAATGGCAACACAAATATAAATGTTAGACTGTCTTTGTATAAATACATACACTTGATTACACAGATATATAGTAGCAACTGTCCTCCATCCTGTGTATTCATATTTCATAACATAATGATGCAAAGGCATTCTAATAATATCTGATCTTTAGTTTTGAGTACAGATTGTGATAGACGTACATTACATCTAAGTTTTCTACAGAGATACAACCTGTTAGCTTACAAAAAATTATGTTTTAAATACTTCTACATAAAATACTTGTAAAACATTATCTCTGTAGGTGTGGATTGGATAGAAGAGTGGCTGGATGGAAGAAAACAGAGGGTTGTTATAAATGGAGTTCAGTCAAACTGGATTAATGTCACAAGTCGGGTACCTCAGGCTTAGGACCTTTGCTTTTTCTGGTTTACATAAATGACATAGATGGAGGAATGGTCAATAAATTACTTATATTTGTTGAGGATATTAGTTAATGTCTTGGGTGTTGCTATCTGCGAAGAATATGCTATGCTACTGCTTTACAAAAGGATTAAGATCATTTAGTGAGTTGGGAAACAAATTGCAGAGGGGTTTTAATTATAACAAATTCAAGATAATGCATGTGGGATATCATAATTTGAATTATAAGTATAATTTGGATTGGAATAACCTTAACAGCATTATGAAAGAAAGTGATGTTGGTGTAATAGTTGGTCACTTTCTTAAGTCAGCCAAACAATGTGATGTTGCTAGTAGTAGGGTAAATAGGATTTCAGATTGTATCTACAGAAATATTGAATACAAGTCTAAAGAGGTTATAATTTCATTGTATATGTCACTGGGAAGGGCACATTTGGAGTATTATGTTCAGTCTTTGGCTCCTTACCATAAGAAGTACATTGAATTGTTGGAAAGAGTTCAGAGTAGAGCCACTAGAAATGGTGCCTGGGATGAAGGGGTTTATCATACGAGTGAAGGTTAAAATCTCAGAAATTGTTTTCTCTCAAAAAAAAAAGAAGAATTAAAGGGGATCTGACTAAGGATGTATCATCTTTTTTCATATTTAATGGTGAGAATGGTAGGACTAGGAGATACAAATATAAATTTTGGCAGGGTAGGAGTTATCTTCAGCTAAGACAGTTTTATTTTTCTAACAGGGTGGTTCGCCTTTGGAACGAGTTGCTTTCAGATTTTGTGGAAATTAAAGAATGGGTTAAACAATCACCAAGTTTTTTTTTTTATATTTTTAAGAAGATGATGTTTCAAACTGGCACTCTTTGTCAGATTGAACAGCTCAAAAATTCTTGCAGTATATAAGAATGTAAAAAATTAAGGAGAATGAACCAAGACTACCTGGCTCATGGAAGGCACCTCTCACTCACCAAGATACCAAAGCCATACTAACTATACTTTTTCATATCTATACAATGAGTTGGTAAAATAATTTATACTAATAATGATTTCAAATCCTATTTCTGAGAATTGGCATTATCATATTTAAAGTATCTATTTTAAAATGTCTCTCAATTTAGCTTTTCTAACATTGCACAAAATTACAATTTACAAATACAAACTTTTATCATCCCTTTGCAATTAATTACTCTTTAAATACGGATACAGATCAATTACTAATTTCACTTTAAAAATATCACACTAACTAGTTTGTTTCAATTAAGCTTTTAGTCATATTTGGCTGCACCAAATTTTACATACATTTGTCACAAGTAACAGAAACTAGCAATTAAATTCAAAAATATGTGATAATTAATGTATATTTTATTTCCTTTAGATCACAATTATCTGGTTTCTGAATACAATTTTATAAAATGTGGTCAAACCTAATGAAGATGTCAAAGGCTGGGATGTTTGGCAAAATTAGACTGTGACATAAGTACATTCAAATTTTAAAACTAAAGATCTCACTATCTTAGTATCTGTTAGATTGAGTCTGTCCATGTACTTTAAAGTTAGACCTTAACATGTGACCTTGTACCTTTAAATATTAATTCTAATGAGTTGATTAAAATGATTAGTTACACCATGAAGTATAGGTACTTTTCCAAACGTTAAAGATAAAAAAAAAACTTGTGGTCTAATAGTTGGGCGATGACTAACGTAATGATAATACCAATATTAAAAGAAATTAGAATAGCGCAAATAAATACCAAGTTATGTTGCAAACACAATTAACTTGTAAATGCAACAAAAATACAGCAGATGAATTTTGACATATTATTAAACCTACTGTCATCTAACTTATTTTACGTATAATACTAATAGTAATAGTGTAAAACACTTGGCATGATTTTTACACGGTAATTTGTGACTACCAACCATAAACTAACCTGAAATTTTTACTCAGTGCACAGTGTAAATGTAACTTACTTAAGTTATAGTTGTAAGAATAACGTCCTAGATCGTATTACAAAACGTAAATTACAGTTACAGCCATAAACTTAACTTTTATTTACTAAGCGTAGTTTGTGCCTTTAACTTTCTTTTTCACAATTAAATAACCATGTATACCAAGCCTCTAAATTAGATGTATCCTTTTAAGTTAAAAAATATATGGTCAATATTTTCAGCCTTTAAATAAACGCAACACACGAATATCTTGTGATAACTTAAATCACTGATTCTCAGTTAGTTCATTCTGCGGGAAAATGTAGCGCCCCTAGTGCCAAGAATATCAATTACCACAAGAAAATATCTTGGAGTTTACTTTATAATAAAGCAATATTCTACAAAGTGTCAACAAATAACTTTTTTCTAACGATATTAAAATCGAAATAAATAACGAATATTATCAAGAAAGAAATTACTGCACCAAATAGTGGTTTATATTTGAATAACTAATTAGGCTTGCTTGAATACTTTGTCCAGTTTAAAATTACAAGTTTTGTTGAGTTGTGTCATCAAGTCATAGTGCATATTAAAAACCAGAAATATATGAAATCACTAACTAAGTACTATATATGACTATTTTAAATGAGAACACTTTACTGTTACTAAAAGTTTATTGCTTTCTATAGAGGGCGTACATGTAAATAGGTTAATAGGTGCTAGATCTTGCTAGAATTAGAATCTGCCGTAGAATTAATAATAATATTAATAGTGTAATTAGAATTATCTTCTAATTTAATTTTCAGTAACTGAGTAAGTTTTTTTTCTGTGTGTGTGTGTTACTGTTTTTGACGAGTAATTTCCATAAGTTTAGGAGGATTCTGTTAGTGTTAATATTATCAATACCACTTAAGTTAACAGTGTTAGTATTACTATTATTTTGCTTGCTATACTCTTAATACTGATAATAATATTGTTATGGCGTCACCAGAAGTAATGGAGTCGTCCTGCGAACGACTATCTTTTGAACCAGCAGTTTAATGCACACTCACAGACTATTAAATCTAGTGCTTCAAAGTCTGAAAACTGCTGACTGTGGTGTTATAATTTTATATTCATAACTTCTTTTGTTTGCTTATGACTAGTTATGTGTTGCTTCAATCTGACATGAAACTTGCATTACGTTTGCATAAAATGGATGTATCTGTAAGATATAAAATGTCACTAGTTTATTGTAACAGTACTAACAAGTTACTCATATAGTAGTACCATTAGTATTACTGTGAAAAAAATCATGTAAATTATAACACTAGACTCGTGCTAGTCATATTCATAGTGCCATATCTTGAAAACCAAACATTTGAGTCAGTGCTTTAGGCTCGGGACACCACTAGATGGTTAATCTGGCAGTCATAATAAAACAATGTAGTACAAACAGCATAAAATCTCATACTCATAGCATTTTGATAGGTTATTGTTAATTTACATTTATATAACATAGCCTGCCAAAGTATGGTTAATTGAAAATGAAGGGATGAATTGAAAAAGAGTAATGCTAGGCTGAATGGGCAAAAATCAGGAGTTAATT